TGGATTTCCAGTTGAAAAATATAATTTTTCAAAGAAAAAACTGAAATAGAGATGGTATGTGTGTGTTTCACAGAGTAAAATGTGACTGACAGTTTTTCAACTCCCCAAAAATATGAAAATATTACGCGATAGCCAAAGATAATTAGTCTGCTCGTTATTCTTGCTTAGACAGAATAGTGTGCAAATTTTCAGAAACTGGTACGAGTTAAAAGATGTTGGCAGTTTTATTTCAGGCGAGATTTTACGTTGCCAGTTGGAAACTGATGTTCTGTGCACTGTGACTCTGTGCGTTTGGAATTTTCAAAATCTGTCCTACCTCCCGGTTTGTTGACCCCAGGTCACGCGATATGCACAAGCACACAAACTATACGCCATCAATTTGAGAATTGGGAATTAGCAAGCAAGGTTTACACGTCTCAGTGAAGACTTACCGATTGGGACAAATGGATCTTCTTGTGTTTTCCTCTTCAGTTTAGTACTTGAATCTTCAATTCTGTATTCACTTGGGTCAAACTTCTTGACTTCAGCTGGACGCGACGACATGTTGACTGTTTATTACACACCTAAAGTGAAACGTAAAACCATATTATAGATAGCGCAAAACTGTATCCACTGACAAACATCCAACAGAATGGATGATCATGATATACAATCATTTGTAAAAGTAGCGACCTAGGCCTACAAGAGCTGCATAGTATGCATACCGTAAAAATCATATTTGAGGCCGCAGCTTTAATAGAAGCCACACCCCTAACTTGAAACATTGTTTCATGTTGAAATTGACAAGTTGTGATCCCAGGAAAAAGCCTGCAATATAAGCTGCACCCCAAACTTTCACAAATCAAACAGCGTAATTTAGGTTTACTGTTGTCATTGATGTTTATTCGAGAGGACAGTGTTTATTGTGGGTAGCGTGACTGGGTAAACTGCGTTTCGACAATGAGCTGTTATCATCAAAAGTGTTAAATTCTTCTTCAATGCTCAGCTTATCTTTCAAAAACAACTAAATTCTTGATTTAAAAAAAAAAAATCATGCCATTTTCCCATCAAAATCAAAGCCAAATGATCACACTACAACAACGGTAAATCACTTATGTGTTGCGTTCACCATGTGGTCGCTGACCTGTCATAACATATTTGTCATACAGTACAGTTCTCGCGGAAGCTTTGGCTTCACTTCAGCGTCAGCTTCGCTTCAGCATCGCATCATTATGGCATTGTTATGGCTTCAGCGGTCATCGCTTCGCTTCATTGTGGCCTCATTATGGCGACAATGTGGCATCAGCATCGCTTCATCAAACAAAGAAGTACAGAACTCATTTCGCCCTCAGACTAGTAATACTAGTCTGAGTTTCGCCCAAGCCCTCGCCCGCTTCCGCTTTTCAATCGCTCGCTTTTGCGACCGCTTGTTGAATTTCCGCTTTATTTTCGACTGAAAAAATTCGGACTACTAACAATTTTCTGGTTTTCATAGATCACGGTTACTAGTTTAGT